ACTAGTAGCTACAACCTGAACTACTTGGTTGTAAGTCCATTACTAAACAGTTGTTATATAAACCACACAGACTAGTAGCTACAACCTGAACTACTTGGTTGATAGCCCATTACTAAACAATTGTTATATAAACCACACAAACTAGTAGCTACAATCTGAACTACTTGGTTGTAAGTCCATTACTAAACAATTGTTTTATATACCACACAGTCTAGTAGCTACAACCTGAACTACTTGGTTGATAGCCCATTACTAAAAAATTGTTATATAAACCACACAGACTAGTAGCTACAACTTGAACTACTTGGTTGATAGCCCTTTACTAAACAATTGTTATATAAACCACACAGACTAGTAGCTACAACCTGAACTACTTGGTAGAAACTATATATATATATATATATATTACACTGGTGACTGTATATTACACTAATAACTGTATAGTCTGACAGTGAATTACCAGACGATAACGATACAACTTAAACCAAACTGTATATACAGAATGTTCTTATAATAACTTATACACTACAAAGATAGATATCTATTAGAATACTCACGCTCACATGTGCTCTGGTCAGTTTTCTTTTCATATCCTTCTGCACACTTACACACCCATGTGTTATTGGTTTCTTGACAAACTAGATTAGTACAATTTTCATTATATGTACATGGATTAAGTTCTGAAAAAAAAAATTACATTGTTAATCTACTTTTAGTGGTTCGTGTCAACTTAATATATCACAAATGATTGGACAACTAGACATATGTATCGTTTTTATTTATAACTTAATGCTTGGCTATTTTTACTTTTATAACTTATAACTGTCTCCCTAGATCAGTATAAATCTTTATATTGTGTAAAACGTACAAGCTGAAGTACCACATTAAAGTATTAGGTTTTATTATCCTACAAGCTCTCCAGCTCTATAAAGAGCTCTTTTTAGGGTGGAAATACAACAGAATCTGAAAAGAAAAAACTTAAAAAATAAATCATGTGAGAAAATCACGTGGTCATACACGTATTGTTGCTAACACGTGTATCAATAGGCTATAATTAACAAGTCATGCATTAGTACACAACGGTAGGTTATATCAACAGATCCTTCATTAGTACACAATAGTAGGCTATCATCAACAAATCATGCATTAGTACTAGACGGTTTCAAAACATCATAATACAGTAATTAAAATACGAGTTAGAGAAATACATATATAAATACTTACCTCTACATTTTGATTTCTTATAGTCGAAGTATTTGTTTTCTCCACAGTTGCACGCGAATGTTTTATCGGAATTTCTGCTAGAACAAGTGGCATTTTTTCTGCGCATAGTTTTTTACCAGTTTCATCGTTTTCCAGACGGTATTCACAGTAATCTTCTGTGGTACAATTGTAATCGACGAAGCCATATTGACAGTCACACGTATAATTTTGAAAGTCCTGGATGCAGATTCCGTTGTTTTCACAAGGATTGGGGTTACAAGGGTTACGATCTAGGCTCATAAATATTATTATTATTTAAATAACGAACTATGAAAAGCTTATATATATATATATATGTGAATTGATAGTTTTAAAAGATATATTCATAAGATTCGCAGTAATTGTTATAAACAGTGAGAAATATAGTGAAAAGTATTTCCAATTTGACGTTAGAATAATAAAGATTAAAATATACAAAATACAGCTCTATAAACATATATTCAAACATGGGTGTAAATAGATAAAAACAATGTTTTTAGCAGAGTGTTTATTTTATTTTATAGGTGATAAATTCTTATAACAAAATGTTAGCTTCGAGGAATGTCTTCCAACTTTTCTGTAAATTATGAGAAAACAATATATGTTGGTTATGATTCTGTAAAAATAATTTATGAACTTACATTCACAGTTTTCTCCAATATATTCCTGTGTACAGATACAAGTAAAGTTATTCTTCTCGTTTGTGCAAGATCCACCATTCTGACAGGGATTTTCATCGCAAGGGTTAGCTAATATTTGCAAAATCAATGCTATAAAGTTTAGTTTATAGTTGTTCACTCGTTAATTACATCAACAATAATAATACTAATTCAACAACATATAAACTTGGACAATGGAGCACCAGATGACAAAGTATTAAGATTTAAGTGTTAAGAACATGAGACCTCCATTTGATCCTTTCTGTTTAAAGATATCTAAACATGAGCCCTCTGTTCAGGTAATACCCGGGCAAGGTCGGGTAAGGACGGCTAGTACAGTTTATAAAAAGTTCATCCCTGATATAATTACATTATTATTTTAAAGTTTAAAGCATTTTTATCCATCAGCAATACTAATTTTCATATTACTACAATAACTGAAATAATTTCATTATTGTTCAATAGTTTAAAGTATTTATATCTATCAAATATACTAATTTTCACGTTACTACAATAAAAATTGCTTTCTTTCCAAGCAGCTTAGTCAAACTCTTTCAAATATTTTTATTTTGAAATTAAGATAGTTTAATTGGGAAGTGTTTTAGTTGATGATGTATTCAACTTACAGTAACATCCTATATCTTCGTCCCACACATTGGTGCCGTTACACGTGCATTGGTATTGTGCTTTGTTGAGATCATTCTCACATGCGGCGTTTTTACTGGCGCAATAATCGTTACCTGTGATATTATTCTTGGGGATCTTGTACTGACAGTAATCAAGTTTAGAACAATTCTTAGTAACATAACCGAATTCACATACACACGTGAAGTCTGTGTAATTTCCTTTGCAGGAACCGCCGTTTTCACATGGATTTGGATGACATAGATCATGATCTGAAAAAACAAAACAGAAGTTATTTTCTAAATAAAAACAGACAGAAAATAAAAAGTGTAGCTCGAAGCGAATTGTATGTTTTGTTTGAATTCTGGTTTACGAAATATCCAGACTCTTTAATATAACTTAGCTGTTTATTCTCATTTTAAGGTGAAATGTTTCTTTATTTGTTTCAGAATCCGCTGTTTTCACCGCGGGTAATCGAACTCCGGATTTTAGCGTTATAAATCCATAGATTTATTACTGTGCCACTGAAGAAGAAAAAAGTGAAATGGCTCTTGTACTTCTTGGTAAAATAAAGCGAACTAAGCATAATCAATTACGAATAAATAAATAAATAACTTGTGGACAGTGGCAATTGTATACGTCATTACTTATCTAGCAGGTACCGTCATTTTTCAATGGATTGAGTACCCAGGGATCTATTGAGAAGTTGAAAGTTGTAGAAGAAGATAAAACATCATTTATTATAATTTCCGCGAAAAAAAGTCAGGGTAAAGTAGACAGTCCTGAAACACACATGTATGAAATAATCTTAATATTGTTTGATTCTTTGCTTTGTTATCAATCATCTTAGTCAGCGCACATAATATATACAATGATTTCTTTAGTATTGGTTTGTTATCAATCGCCTTAAGAAGCACCCAGAAATATATACAATGAGTTTTTTTATATCTAAAACTTTTATAATTATAGATATAAATTATCAAAATACCATTACAACCACAAATCTGAAACTTTTTATTTACTCATAAAATAATGATACGTTTTTATGTAGAGACACGAACACCTGTTTGTTATAGTTGGAATCGACAGCTCAAGACTTTTATATATTTAAACAAGCAGAACCAATTGTTTTATTTGTAATAAATGATCAAGACTAGAAACTCTCATTAAATCAAAAAGTAAAACCGCTCTGACTTGGATAGGCAAGACTAGTTACTCGTATTGTAGTCATATTAAACATATATCTTTATGACGAATCTGCTGTCAGAATTATAGAAAAGTAAATGAATACTTTTTTTTTACAGTTGAAAAGAAATCAGAAAAGCCTCAACTTCACAATCCAACTGTGACAAATTCAGACTAATTAAAGTTTAACCTTCTGTAGAATGAGGACAACTCTTTAAAATGTGTTTTTAGAGCTTCTTCTCTTCAGAAAAATGATTAATCTAAGTAATTTAAAACTAACAATTGGTTTGTTATAAAGCACAAAGCTACACAATGGGCTATCTGTGCTCTGCCTACCACGGGTATCGAAACCCGGTTTCTAGCGTTGTAAGCCGGAAGACATATCACTGTGCCACAGGGGAGCCTAACAGTCGGAAACTCTGACAATGGTACATTTCATACATACAGACGAGCAGTATGTCAGTGAGGTAACAAAGTATTCTCGTGTCAAAAGATTTCAATAATTATTCAGTTAAACAAAGATAGTTCTTCAAATTTCTAAGCAACTAAAACGGACACTCTGAAAGACATAATGACCAAAATACTGATTTTCTGTTGAATAATTGACTCATACCTTATTTTTTAGCATACTCCACTTCAGCTTACACTCATATACTCAGTGAGAAGTGTAAAAGAACCTACCAAACATTAAGTACAACTGATAAAAACTCTGCTACGATTATTACACAGAAAAATATAAAAAATATTTAGTTACGTCAAGCAGTAATACCGATTACACAGTGCATTGGTTTACGGAATTATAAAATCTTTTTTTTTTCAATAACGTAAATTAGATGTATTACTCATAAAAAATATGGCAACAAGGATTGAATTTTAAGTAATTTCTTAGTTTATAACTTGAATACACTAGATCTACAACAGTACAGAATAAATATAAAGTTTTGGATATTTACCTTTTATCGTACTGGAAACCTCTTCACTAACTGAAAAAGATACTGCACTGGAAGTGCTAGTTGATGAAGGCAAAGATAAAGTTGATAAAGAAGTATCAGTGCCACTAGAATTTGAGGATTCGGTGGAATAATCAGCAGTAAAGTTTGAAGTTCTAGGTGTTGATTCAGCAGACACGGTTTTACTAGAAGAATCAGTACTAGAAGGTAACTGATCTGATGAAGCAGTAAACGATGTAGTATCAATGGAAGTAGACTTTTCTGGGTTTATGGTTAATGTAGATTTAGATAAAGTTCCAGGTGTTGATTCAGCAGACACGGTTTTACTAGAAGAATCAGTACTAGAAGGTAACTGATCTGATGAAGCAGTAGACGATGTAGTATCAATGGAAGTAGACTTTTCTGGGTTTATGGTTGTTGATTTAGATGAAGTTAGAGGAGTTGATTCGGTTGACACTGCTTTACTAGAAGAATCAGTTGTAGAAGGTAATTGATTTGATGAAGCAGTAGACGATGTACTATCAATGGAAGTAGAAGTTTCTGGGTTTATGATTGATGTTGATTTAGATGAAGTTAGAGGAGTTGATTCGGTTGACACTGCTTTACCAGAAGAATCAGTTGTAGAAGGTAATTGATTTGATGAAGCAGTAGACGATGTACTATCAATGGAAGTAGACGTTTCTGGGTTTATGATTGATGTTGATTTAGATGAAGTTCCAGATTTTGATTCGGTTGTCACTGCTTTACTATAAGAGTCAGTACTATAAGGTAATTTATCTGATGAAACAGTAGACGATGTTGTATCAACGGTAGTAGACGTTTCTGGGTTTATGGTTAATGTTGATTTAGATGTAGTTCCTAGTTTTGATTCTGTTGTCACTGCTTTACTAGAAGAATCAGTACTAGAAGGTAATTTATC